GCCACATGCACATTTGTTGGCCCGCTGGAGGTCATTTTGAAGGGCTCTGGCAGTGTTCCTCCTGTCTCTCCTTGCACAAAGGCAGAGGTAGCGGTCCTGATGCTGGGTTGTTGCCCTCCTACGGCCTCCTCCACGTCTCCTAATGTACTGACCTGTTTCCTGGTAGCACCTCCATGCTCTGGACACTACACTGACAGACACAGCAAACCTTCTTGCCACAGCTCGCATTGATGTGCCATCCTGGATGAGCTGCACTACCTAGAGTGAAAGCACTGCCAGCATTCAAAAGTGACCAAACCATCAGCCAGAAAGCATAGGAACTGAGAAGTAGTCTGTGGTCACCACCTGCAGAACCATTCCTTTATTGGGGATTGTCTTGCTAACTGCCTATGCTTTCAACCTGTTGTCTATTCCATTTGCACAACAGCATGTGAAAATGATTATCAATCAGTGTTTCTACCTAAGTGGACAGTTTGATTTCACAGAAGTGTGATTGACTTGGAGTTACATTGTGTTGTTTAAGTGTTCCCTTTATTTTTTTGAGCAGTGTATATAGAAGAATCCCTCTAGAAGTTGTTTAAAGTTGTTTAAAGTAAGCAGAAGTTATAGTTCAATATATCTGGAATAAATTGGAATGAAAAAGAGTGTCATATCAGTTAGACTATCATATAGTTTTCTTTTTAAAAAGTGTATCATTATTTTCTAATTACAATTTCTTTTCCATTTACTTAATTAAAACAAATTATGAGAAAATAATATAAATTCCTTTATGTTGTATGGCTATATGTGGATAGCTTTAAAAATATACTCATAGCTATTTTCACTTGATGATTATTAACTGTTCATCATGATTAAATAGTAAACAATCTTGTATATCTTTACCACTATTCTTAATTATGATTAATTATGTATGAAATATATATTTCAATATATTTGTAAAGATTTGAATTAATGACATAAAATAAATGACTGAGAATAAAACAATCATGCAGAGATGAAAACTCTAAGATGAACAGTCATGACATTAAGACTTTGCCAAGCATTCAAGTCTATGAATATTCAAATGATACACAATGAAACTTCCAATGAAAAATTGCTACTTAGTAAAGGCAAGTAGATCTAATGAGTTAGTCTTCTCATGTTTTAGCTTCAAACAGGATCTTTCTGAATTGATATAGTGTGACCTGTTGTGCATTCATACCTAATAATTTAGTTTACAACACAAATAATTCTTTTTTTTAATTGTTGTTGTTTTTGTTGTTTTTTTGCTATTGCTATGACTCATATGGAGAAATACACCATGGCTTATTACTGGCTGATATTTAAAATGTGAAACTTTTACCATTGCTTGCCACTGGTAAAAGTACACTTCATGAATATGTATAAAACTGTCGAAAAAGTGTAAAATGTCTTTCCAGTTTGGCAATTGCTTTGTTTGGCAAGCTACTTAAGTACGGAAAAATAATCTACATCAGAAACATCTATAATTAACGCGGTTCAATATGGTGGATCCAGCTGCAGATTGAAATCCTTCCCCTTTCTATTTGTGATGTTGTTGTATGCTCAAACGGTGAGGCTTTGATTCACAGTTGTGCCTGTCATTTTGTTCCTTGGAAGGCATGCCTGACTTACATGTTGGTTATGTAATACAAGTATAGGTAAGGTAGCTGATGAGACAGATAAAGTAGCTAAATCATGAGACAAGTTATTCAGGCTAGAAAAGTAGGCCAGATTTTTATGATACAAGACAAAAGCTTGAGAAGTTTCATGAGTCTGACATCCCAAGAGCATTTCCCTGAAAAGTTCAGAAATTTATCATAATGGCATTAGTCCACTCTTACTGTCTATCAGCAACTTTTTTTCTGAAAGATAAACTGTCTCTGAGCCACAAGATTCAATAAAACTTTAAACAAGTAATCACTAAAAAAATATCCTCATGAATTTTCTTGAAAGCTATCCAGGGTTAGCTGTAGATGCTATGAATTTAATGCATGTGGCCTAAAATAGTGCTTTCCTTGGCAGCTCTGGTTTTATTAGTTTTGTGTAATGACTTGACATTCTAAATTTAAAAAGAAAAAAATCCTTTTCTGACATCATTAATTATATACTACCTCTAATTTTATCAACTTTTTTAAAAACATCAATCAATTATTTTTATTTTTTACTATGATTGTTTTAATGCCTTTATTTGCTGGTCTGTGATTGCAATAAAGTTTGATTGATTGATTGGTTACCAACTTTGATCACATTCTCTCCTACTTACATCTTTTTTTAAAGCCAAATATTATATCCTCTTCTAATCCCATGTATTTCTAATAATATAGGGAGGGGAAGATTTCTTTGGGATGCTTGTATTGCTTTCATTATATGAGTGTCCAAATACTGTCTATACAAATACTGTCTATAAAAGTTTATTTTGTATATATTTAATGTAGTACTTTATTATTTATTGGAGTTTATATGATTTATGCACAAGAGAACATCTGTATCTATACAGAGCCCCAGTCAGAAATTAGAAGTTAAAACGATGATTGGCATGCATTCCATCCTTCTTGATTGACACACAATTAGCCACAGTTAACCATGGCTCCCACTGAACACTTTTATTTGTTGTTGATCTTTTAAAGTTAGCCCGTGCATTTCCTCTTCTATTGAAATTATTTAGTTTTTCCTTCCTTACTTTTTTTCATTCAACTCTTTTTCAAAATAGCTTAGAATTGCTTTTCAGTATACCTTTCTTCCTTTCCCAGGCATCAAGATTTTTTCATACATGGGAATACTTTCATATACGAGAGGCAAACACCCTTATCTAATTTGTATGGCAATGAATTATGTCATTTTGTGTGGGTAAAAAACACTTATAAACATTGGTACACATTTACTAAACGATAAATTACAACATTTTTCTTATTTGCGATATTTCCAAGTGCTTAATTTGCATTCAGAAGTCATATTCAAATATTAGCATATTTTCTTGAACTTGAGGTTTAGCTAATCACTTGTTACTGCAGTTCTTTGAATAGTCATATGAAAATTCATATACTCTCCTTCCTATTCCACTTGATCTCAGGTGACCTTCTGATTTTTTGGAACTCTGTGCTATCAAATTGAAAGGCTATGGCAAGAACCTAGTAACATGGTACACATAGGGAATGGGATTATAGAAGATTCCTAATGGGCTTTATATAGGTACATAAGTCATGGGTGTGAATTCAGATAACCACTTTAAACTACAGTTACAGGTAAGTACACAGTTCTTTTTTAAATGTATGCTTTTAAATAAATAAATAAATAAATGGACCTGTGGGTTTTCCATCAAATATTTTCTCAATGGCTAGTACCAATGATGATTAGATTATCACAAAAATATCTTTTGAAACTATTATTTTTTCCATTATTTCTCTAAGGAATGTTGTTTAACATGGATCCAAGTCTTTTACAGCTTAAAAGAAGTTGCGGTCGTTAAACATTTTGTGGCAGAACAAGATAATCTGCAGAATGCCGATGTTGTATCCTTCACTGTCATAAAGATTCTCCTTATGAGACTGTCTTTTTTGGAAGCTGAAGCAGTTTCTATTTAAATCATCAGCTGAAGTGTGAATTTATCTGTGACATTTTTAAGATGGTTGATGAAGCCAAAAGTTGACCAGTGATTCTCTTGTGGAACACTAGCTAATTTTGGATTTACAGCAGATAGCATAGCCAAGATTAGAAACAAATAGCTATAAAATTAGGGGTAGGGAGGAAAGATATCTGATTACTGAATCATAGTTTGATTTAAGAACATGTCCCATGGAATGACTTCCTATATTGATCTAACTTCTATAAATTAACAATCTTTTTCATAGAGGCAGTATCTATCAAGTAAAAAAATACAAAAAAAATATCAAAGAACAGAAGTAGGGATCAACTAATAAAAGGCACTCTTGAATTGATATGGAAAATGGATCTTATATAAAATACAATTTTACATAATAATTGATTCGGGATGAATATTTGTTTAGTATAGGACTGTAATTACTATTTTACCATGAGATTAGCAAATTAATATAATAGATAAAAAATAACAAGTGCATTGCTCAAGGACTGTATAAAAAATTAATAACATTATACTTTAATTATTAAAAGCATTAAAAAGTTTTTTTCTTAAATGAACTTTCCATAAAAGCATGATAAAAAATTAATTATATTCCCTTTTGAAACTGATAACATAAACAATTATAATGAGAGGATGGCAGTTTGGAATAAATTATGAAGGTATCATTAGGTCTATATATTACTAGTTTGTGTCTTTGCTCAGATTGATTTTTTAAGTTCTTACTACTGCATAGAAAATATTTTGTACTGAACAAATAAGTTACATCTAGATTTAATTATGTTAATAAATGGGCAATGAAATCAGTGGAGCATACTATACTGATTTTAATTGGCATGCACCAATCACTAATCCAGCCTAAGATTGCTACACTCTTAACTTTGGCAATTCCATGAATTGCTGAGAAAATACCAGTTCATTCTCTGTTGCTCAAGGTTGCTGATGACCAACTTTACAAAAAATTTCAAACTGGTATTAAACTGATATCAAACTGGTATTCTGCCATTAAGAATAATAGCAGAATGTGGCCAGATGATCTTATAGTTTACATATGATTCTCTCCTTAATATTTTGACATGGAATGTGTTGTAAATTCATTTCATTTTTTTATTTAAGCAACGCTCTGTGTCTCACATTTGTAATCAAACCAATAAATAAAATAATAAATAAATACCAAGATAGCAAAACAATAACTAATGTAATTTTTAGTATTGACATCAGTAATGCATTGCTAGAGTTGGTATTGTAATAACTTTAAATAGAAATATGTTTATTACATCTATTTTTATAATAAAATATTTACTATAATGTTTTAATCTATAACAATATTTTCAACATTCATATTTTCTTGCCAATAAATTGTAAAATTGTCCTGACTCCAGACCTGATTTTGTCTTTATTTTAGATTCTCAAGACGGAAATTATAAATCTGAGGTCAATAGCAAACCAAGAAAAGAAAGAACAGCTTTCACCAAAGAGCAAATCAGAGAGTTAGAAGCAGAGTTTGCCCATCATAACTACCTCACCAGGCTGCGAAGATATGAAATAGCTGTGAACCTGGATCTCACTGAAAGACAGGTAATGGCTAGAGAACAAACTAATGGTGTTCCAAGCAGGGTTGTAAGTTAACTCATGCTAGATCAAACCAAGTTAGAAATGGATATAAATATGTGCAGAATAAAATACAATTATAATGCAACATTTGTATTATGTATGTCTCTACTGGATAACAATAATTGGATAACAATAATTTTAAAAAGATATTTCCAGAATTAGTTAGCATACCTATAACAGCATGGAGCATTAATTGTCTTAGTCTTTGCCTGACAGAACCACTGTCCACTTATTCACCCTGCCTGTTTTCTCTCAATGACAGCATGATTCATCTTATTTCCTTTATCAAATCTCTCTATTGCAATCCTCATTCATCTATACTCACTCTTTACTTTATTCTAGCATTTAAAATAATTATGAAGAGAATTAGTGTTGAAGTTACTAATAAAAACTGAGCTAGATACTTGCTAAGTATATAAACCTTTGTTACATACATGAAGCTTACTTTCACATACTCAGGAATAAGATCTTCTGAGACAGAGATAGTTGGAGGAAGGATTAGGCTATGTTCTGTCGTTTTGTTTTAATTAATGATTGATCGCTGTGATGTTTATTTAAACTAAATAAACAGATGCAGTATAAACAGAAATAGTATAAATAAACAGAAACTAGGTTAATCTCATACCAGGTATATAAGTTGTCTGATTCTTTTTCGTACTCCTCCTGTACTCCTCCTGTACTCCTATACTCCTATAAGCTCTTCATTCTTTGTTAGGAATGAATTGTATATAAGTAATACAACACTTTTCATGCAATAGTCATTAACTAAAAGCTACAAAACAATAGTATAATCATTTCTCTAAGTATCTTTCAAAAGTTCTTATTCCTGAGAATGTGAATGTTTTAAAAATCAGTTTCTAAAAGACCCACATAAGAGATTGTATGGAGCTGATATTCATCAACATAGACAGTACTGAGCTAAATGGCCCAATGTTTCACTTCAAGTTTTGTCTCCAATGAATTAAAATTGCATTTAGGATTTCTGGGCCTGGGTGGAGTGTCTTGAATTAAGTTAGACTCTTGGTGATTATGGATGTATTTATATTCCTTTCTTGATTACAGTACTGAAATGATTTACCATTGTCTTCTGGAATCTTTATTTTTATATTCCATCCCACTCTAATCCATAGCCCCGACATTTTATAATTTTGTCTCACTTAGTTTCTTCAAAATTAGCCAAGGTCAGCCACCTGCTGGTAGCTTATTCAAATCACAAATAAGTCATGAAATGACTATGAAGCCATTGACCTGGAATTCATATTGTTAAATATAAATATACTATCTAAATCTATGATCTCAGATGATATTGGAGCAATTCAAAAAGTGATTTTAATGGAAACTCATTTATTTATGTTAACAATAAAAATGAAGGTAACGTCTAAAACAGAAAAAAAAAACCACATTAATTCTCTAAAGCAAAAAAAAAAAAAAAAGTACCAAGGGAGCTTAGAGAGAGAAAAAATCTGCATTCAGCATAAAGAATAACATTATTATAGCATATCATTGATCATAGATATAAGTTAGTCAACAAATTGAATTTAATCCAAAATATTATTAAATCAACAAGAGAACAATGATAGAAAGGACACTGAATGATATAATTAATGCAGGTAATCCTTGCTTAACAACCTTAATTGGGAATGGAATCTTCATTATTAAGAAATGCACTGAGTAGGTGAAATATTATATGACTATACTGCTTAGTGATGGCAGTTTTGGTGGTCATTACAGCAGATCCTTCTTCTACCCCGCCTACACTTGTCTCTACTTCCCCTCATCTGTCTGTCTTCGCCCAGATCTATTTCCTATTGGCCATCCTGCATGCTGCTGCCCTGAATGTGCTGCTGCTCTGCACTGTTCCCTTCCTGCCCTGCTCGCCACCACTGTCATGGACTTTTCTGTCCAGCTTCTTCTGCCACCTCACTTTTGCCATTTGCTTCTTCCTGCTGCTGACAAGTCAGGTCTTGATTGGCCTTTTATGAGGGAACTGATAGCAATACAAGGTCTTCCAGAGGCCACATGCAGCCTTTCCAATGCCCCGGGAAGACCTCAAGTTACCTCATGAAGGGGAAGGCCAGGCTTGCCATATCAGCAATGGAGGAGAAAAATGATAAAAATCAGCTGGGGCAGTTGGGAATGGCAGGGGTTGGAGTGGAGTGGCTGGGGTAACCGCGTGCAGGAAAGTCAAAGGAGCACAAATGGGAGGGAAATAGGTATGTGGAAGGAGTTGAACTCCAAATTGTTCATATGGATGGGCTCCAAAGGACCTGAATTTTGGTCCCATGAATATGTGGGTGCTGTAAGAATCATAACATCAAGGATAGGCTATAATTTATCCTCAGGCTTTTAATAGGAAAGTTATGGTCACAAACACCCAGCCGCCCATTCACTCACAGAGAAAGTGATAGAGACAGGCAGGCAGGCGGAGGAGGAACAGGACAGAGGGAAAGAGGAGAGGAAGAAATAAAGCAACAAATTTATTTATTTATTTATTTATTTTGTCAAGCATGTATGAGAAAACAGGTACAAGTAAGAACATAACATATGAACATAAAAAATGAAGCAGCAGTGAAATGATTGTGGTGTTCCCTAAGCAATCATTCGATTTTTTGTGTGTGTAATTTATAGAGAAATAATTGATTATGTTGCTGCTGCAGCATCAAAAGCATTATTTGAGATATATCAAAACTGTACAAGCTCTCTCAAGGAGTTTGTACATTGAGTGAGAAGAAAGAAGTCTTCAATTTGTGCAGAGATATTTCTCTCCCTCCCTTCCTCCCTCCCTCTTCCCCTCCCTCTCTTTGCTGAATAATTATAGAATTTTCCTGAAGGTGGAGGGGGATGTTTAAGGTGTGTGTGTGTGTGTGTGTGTGTGTATTCTTAAGTTTTCGCGGGTACTTACATATATGGTATTCAGCTTTGTTCGGGTATTTTCCCACATCATTATAGTTATGCTTTTAAAGTTGTAGCAACGTTTCGGCAGAATCTCATCTGCCATCATCAGGCTTCTGTATTGAGTTCGTCTGTGAGTCAGACTTTTACAGTTGTTTTACAGTGTGACTCACAGACAAATTCAATACAGAAGCCTGATGATGGCGGATGAGATTCTGCCAAAACGTTGCTACAACTTTAAAAGCACAACTATAATGACGTGGGAAAATACTCGAACAAAGCTGAATACCATACATGTAAGTACCTGCAAAAACTTAAGAAAACACACACACACACACACACACACACACACACACACACATATATATCAGAATTCTCAGATTGGAAAGTAATGTGCAAATAATTTTTTCCTTTATCTTTTGGGGAAATAGAAGCAATTGTATCAAATTACCTGAAATTATTGATCAATACAGGTAGCCTTCGACTTACAGCCACAATGGAGCCCAAAATTGTTGTTAAGTGAGACATTTGTTAAATAAGTTTGCTCCATTTTATGATCTGTCTTGCCACTTTCATGTTACATGAATCACTGCAGTTGAGATGTTAGTAATATGGTTGTTAAATGAATCTGGCTTCCCCATTGACTTTGCTTATCAGAGTTTCTGGTCACAAAAGTTGATCACATGATTCTGTGCTCAAGCATATGAATTTTGATCATGTGACCATGGGGATGCTGCAATGGTCATAAGTATGAAAAATGGTTATAAGTCACATTTTTCAGTGCCATTGTAACTTTGAACCATTACTAAATGAACTGTTGTAAGTTGAGGACTACCTGTAGCTACATTTTTAGGTTTTGAATAATTTGTATTCAAATGTTACTAGATTCAGTTCCTGCCTTCTATACAAAGCAAAATGATTGCCATCTCTCTTTGTTTGAGCATCACCTATATGCATAGGAATTATCTTCCAGAATTATGAGTTCTGGTGTGCTATCCTAGAAATGTTTGGATCAAATATCTGAAGAATGCAGAAGGATGGGACCAGTGAAAAAGAAATTTTGGACATTTTTCTTTTGGTTAGAGAATTTCTTTCAGTTAAATATGATAAATAAGTAATGAAACAATGAAATCTTTGCTTTATAACATCAAATTTAAATGAGCTTTAAATAGCTTCATCCTGAAGGCATCCTATTACTCTGCATTCACAGAATTATTTGTTTTTGTTGCATTCGATAATGGAAATAATGGGATAAAATTATGTGTACATACAGTATCTGCTGACACTGATCTATCTTCAGGCACCTCTCTTGGTTGGAACCCATGTAACTTTGCTATAGCAAGCGGGTATATTTTACAAAAAAAGCACCCCAATTGTCTTCATTTGAAAGACTACACATGGGACCCATTTTGTCAAGGTTCATTATTATTTATTTATTTTCCCCAGATCAGAAATGCAAATAATGTAAATAAACAACTGACATTCAAAACTGTGTGGAAAAATAAAGGCCACATTATCATGTCACAGAGGGGTCCATGGGAAGAGAAGCTGTAGGCTTATAATCAGCCTACTATTTGTAATAATTATGATTCTTGAATTACAAATATTGAGTCCCAGCTATACAGACACTCTGGCAAGTTGTACTTGCCTTGGGGGAGTCTAACATAGCCATAATTGTTCCTAGAAGAATAAAATAAAGCAAAACAAATTAATGCCTGCAGCCCAATGTTTTCTTTGGAAATGTGCCTGTTGCCTAGAAAATTTTTGTTTTTTAAAGATAAGATGAGATGGTGGCCAATCCCCTAAGGAATAAAGTAACTGAATAACATCCTCAACATAGCTTCTGATAAATGGGAGTTTAGAGAATTGCAAATTTCAGAATGGGCCATCTGAAATTTTAAGCACGCCTATGAAATCCCTCCATGTGTCAACCAGCAGAAATATGTTGATTGTCCTGGTTGAAGAGAAAAGTTAGATCAGTGTGAGACTTTCTGTTTCTTATATTTCTTTTGAAATATTTTCAAGTAAATGAGATCCATTGATAACCCTGCCATAATGTTTATAATAGACTG